TCCCTTTGTCGCCCAGCTGGAGTGCAGTGGCGCAATCTTGGCTCACGGCAACCTCTGCTTCCTGGGTTCAAGTGATTCTCTCTACAAAAAAGAAAATTGGCTGGGTATGGTGCCACGCAGCTGTGGGCCCAGCTACTTGGAGGCTGAGGTGGGAGGAACACCTGAGCCTAGGAAGTGAAGGCTGCACTGAGCTTCAGCTGTGATGGTGCCACTGTACTCCAGCCTGGGGGTCAGAGCGAGACTCTGTCTCAAAAAAAAAAAAAAAAAAAGGCAGGGCGTGGCGGCTTATGCCTGGAATCCCAGTACTTCAGGAGGCTGATTCCTTGAGGCCAGAAGTTTGAGACTAACCTGGGCAACACAGCGAGAGGCCCGTATCTATTAAAAAGCAAAGAAAATAACAACAAACGGGGCCGGGCGCGGTGGCTCAAGCTTGTAACCCCAGCACTTTGGGAGGCCGAGGCGGGTGGATCACGAGGTCAAGAGATCGAGACCATCCTGGTCAACATGGTGAAACCCCGTCTCTACTAAAACTACAAAAAATCAGCTGGGCATGGTGGCGCGTGCCTGTGATCCCAGCTACTCAGGAGGCTGAGGCAGGAGAATTGCCTGAGCCCGGGAGGCGGAGGTTGCGGTGAGCCGAGATCGCACCATTGCACTCCAGCCTGGGTAACAAGAGCGAAACTCCATCTCAAAAAAAAAAAAAAAAAAAAAAAAAAAAAAAAAGAAAATAACAACAAACGAAGTAGAAGAAACTGACAATCCCCAGGGTTACTGGGAAAAAACCCTCCCAAGGGAAAGGGTCACAAGTGGATTCTTGGTGCTACTGCAGATGACATTAAATTCTTTCTAGGAATTGTATGTTCTAATCTACCTCTAGATGACTTGGTTTTTTGTTTGATATGGAGTGTCGCTCTGTCGCCCAGGCTGGAGTGCAGTGGCGTGATCTCGGCTCACTGCAACCATGCCTCCCGGGTTCAAGCCATTGTCCTGCCTCATCCTCCCGAGTAGCTGGGACTACAGGAGCCTGCAATGACATCGGCTAATTTTGTATTTTTAGTAAAGACGGGGTTTCTTCCAGCTTGGTCAGGCTGGTCTTGAACTCCTGACCTCAGGAGATCCGCCCGTCTCAGCCTCCCAAAGTGCTGGGATGACAGGCGTGAGCCACCGCACCTGGCCCTAGATGTCTGTCTCTGATATCTACCGGAAATTGCGTATTTCTAGTATCTTTAAGTATCTGACACTTCCTCTCCTCCAATTAGAGCTGTTTATAATCACCCTCACATCTGTTCCTAGTATTCCGAGAAATTTCCGCTTTTGGTCAGAAAGGAGATTCAACCTGTTTCTCATTTTCCCCAGCGTCTCCAACCCCTCTTAGAACATTTTCTGTTTCTAGAATTCTCTGGTCCTTCTCTTTGTGGTCTCCACTCACAGCAGGAATCCACTTCTAACATTTTCCTTAGGGAGTGCCAGTTTTTTTTTTTCTTTATACATTTTTTTTTTTAAAGACAGGGTTTCACCATGTTGGCCAGGCTGGCCTTGGAACTCCTGACCTCCAGTGATCTGTCCCCCCTGGCCTCCAAAGTGCTTGGATTACAGGCGTGAGCCACCACGCCCAGCCGGGAGTGTCAGTTTTTAGCAACCCCTGGGGGAATTGTCTGTTTCTAGTTCCCCCCACCAAGCTGTTTCTCTACTGTCTCCCATCTCTCATTAACTCACGTCCTCTCTTCCGTTCCTGGTCCCTTTTAGATCAATGGGGTGTCCAGCCAGAACCTGTCACTGAGCGATACCCGGCGGCTGATTGAGCAGTCGGAAGGGACGCTGACTCTGCTGGTGCTGAGGGATCATGGGCAGTTCCTGGTGAACATTCCGCCTGCCGTCAGTGACAGCGAAAGCTCCCTATTGGAGGGTCAGGACCCAGGGGGTGGGGCCTGGGAGGGGTTGAATGGAGGGCGGGGAAGGTGGGAAGCCCCAGGCAGGGTCAAGGAGGAATCAATGAACCTGGTTCCTAAAGGTTCAGAGAGTGACAGGAACTTGCCAAAGTACACACAGCAAGTGAGGAGGTCAGAAGCTGGGCGCGGTGGCTCACGCCTGTAATCCCAGAACTTTGGGAGGCCGAGGCGGGTGGATCACGAGGTCAGGAGATCGAGACCATCCTGGCTAACATGGTGAAACCCTGTCTCTACTAAAAATATAAAAGATTAGTGGGACAGGGTGACGGGTGCTTGTAGTCCCACCTACTCAGGAGGCTGAGGCAGGAGAATCGCTTGAACCCGGGAGGCGAAGGTTGTGGTGAGCCAAGATCACACCACTGCACTCCAGCCTGGATGACAGAGCAAGAGTTCATCTCAAAAAAAAAAAAAAAAAGGAGTACGGGGGCATCATCTTGGCTCACTGCAATCTCCGCCTCCTGGGTTCAAGCGATTCTCGTGCCTCAGCCTCCTGAGGGCCCTTTGCTTAGAGAGGCCCTGATATGCCCCTGTAAAACGGTTCCAGTCCGGAAGGCGTGACCGTGGCTGATGAGAGGTCCTCTCCCCCCGCAGACATCTCAGACCTCGCCTCGGAGCTGTCTCAGGCGCCACCATCCCACATCCCGCCACCACCCCGGCCCGCTCAGCAGAGCCCCGAGGCCAGCCAGACCGACTCTCCCGTGTAAGTATCCCCCGTTGGCCAGAATAGCCGATGGGAGGGAGAAGGGAACGTGGGCAAAACCTTCCAGCTAGGGGTAACCTTGAGGGTGCTGTCCTGTATTTCCAGCACATGTCTCAAAATGCCCCCAGCCTCTACCCATTACCCAGTTCCAAAGCCCTGTCCACATTTGTAGGTGCTGGTTAAGCAGCACCCCACTTCTTGGTTTCAAACAGTGCCTTAGGCTGGGCACGGTGGCTCATGCCTGTACTCTTTGGGAGGCCGAGGCAGGCGGATCACCTGAGGTCAGAAGTTCAAGATCAGCCTGGCCAATATGGTGAAACCCCGTCTCTACTAAAAATACAAAAATTAGCAGGGTGTGGTGGCGGACACCTGTCATCCCAGCTACTCGGGAGGCTGAGGCAGGAGAATCGCTTGAACCCGGGAGGTGGAGGTTGCAGTGAGCCGAGTTTGCGCCACTGCACTCCAGCCTGGGCGACAGAGCAAGACTCTGTCTCAAAAAAAAAAATTTTGTTTTTCATGTATTGATTTGAGACCGGGTCATGTCAAACTGGCTGATTTTCGTATTTTTGGTAGAGATGGGGTCCATATTGCCCAGCTATGTTGCCCTCCAGGCTGGTCTTGAACCACGGGCTCAAGCATTTGGCCTGCCTCAGCCTCCCAAAGTGCTGGGATTACAGGCATCAGCCACCACGCCTGGCCGATACATTACCATTCTTTTTATTTTTGGAGATGGAGTTTTGCTCTGTGGCCCAGGCTGGAGTGCAGTGGTGTGATCTTGGCTCACTGCAACCTCCACGTCCTGGGTTCAAGTGATTCTCCTGCCTCAGCCTCCTGAGTAGCTGGGACTACAGGCACCCGCCATCACACCCGTCTTAAGTTTTGTATTTTTGTAGAGACGGGGTTTCACCACGTTGGCTAAGCTGGTCTTGAACTCCTGACCGCAGGTGATCCGCCCACCTTGGCCTCCCGAAGTGCGAGGATTACAGGCGTGAGCCACTGTGCCTGGCCTAAAATTCTTTTTAAAATGGCCCCTTGACATCCACCCTGCCTCACTCCCAATCTGCTCCCCACCAGGGACAGCCCCCGGCTTCAGCGGGAAAATTCAGTGGATTCCAGAACCATCTCAGAACCAGGTGAGCAACGAGCAGGCGGGTGGTGACTCTGAGCACCCCTCTCCCTGATATTTCTGATCCCCGACAGCAAGGCTGTGCCAGGCAGAGCTGGGGGAGGTTGGTGTGAGCCTAAGAGGTGAGACATGGTTTCCTGAGAAGGATTTGAGGTGGGTGACAGTCCTTCCAGGGTGAGGATGTGAAGCCAAGGTTTGGAGGCTGGACCGAGCCAGTGTGCTTGGGAAAGAGACCGGCTTTTCCCTTTCAGAGTTGCCCAGGGAGAGCAGCTCTGACATCTACAGAGTGCCCAGCAGCCAGAGCATGGAGGATCGTGGGTACGCTCCCCAGAAGAAAGCCCCCCCGCGCGAAACTCCGTCTCTGCCTCCCTCGTGCAAAATCCTGCCTGCTTGCATTAGTTGTGTTGAATGGGACCGCTAATTGGGGACTTTGGGAAAACCGAGGCCTGGAGCGGGTGGGGGCTTTCCCAAGGACGCTGGGCCCTCCCCGGTCTGCCTGCTCTGGTCTGACCCCACCTCCGCTCCCCCTGCAGGTACAGTCCCGACACAAGAGTGGTCCGCTTTGTCAAGGGCAAGAGCATCGGGCTACGGCTGGCAGGGGGCAATGACGTGGGCATCTTCGTGTCCGGGGTTCAGGCAGGCAGCCCGGCCGACGGGCAGGGCATCCAGGAGGGAGATCAGATCCTGCAGGTGCGCCGGGGGTGGCCAGCCACGCCCACCCATCATAAGCGTGTCGTGTGCTAGGTCCCACCCTTGTCTGTTGCAATCTGTAGGTCCTCCTGTCCACGCTGGGGACTGCAGAGACCCCAGATGGGTATTTTAACATTTCAATGGGCCGGGCATGGTGGCTCACGCCTGTAGTCCAAGCACTTTGGAGGCCAAGGCAGGTGAATCACCTGAGGTCGGGAGTTCAAGCCCAGCCTGGTTCAAGACCTGACCAACGTGGTGAAACCCCGTCTTTAAAAAAAAACTTTTTTAATAATGCCCCTAAAAACTTTTTTTTTCTTTCTTTTTTTTTTTTTTTTAAATACGCGGTTTCACCATGTTTGTCAGGCTGGTCTTGAACTCCCGACCTCAGGTGATCCGCCCACCTCAGCCTCCCAAAGTGCTTGGATTGCAGGCGTGAGTCACCACGCCCGGCTTTTATTTTATTTCTACTCCGTTTGCTTGTGGGCTTCTAAGCTTGATCCATGTCATGACCCTGAGAGCAGGTGTCTGTGTCTGTATATTGCTGTCCCCGTCGTGACTCTGAGAGCAGGTGGCTGTGTCTGTATATTGCTGTCCCTCTCCTGACCCTGACAGCAGGTGTCTGTGTCTGTATATTGCTGTCCCTCTCCTGACCCTGAGAGCAGGTGGCTGTGTCTGTATATTGCTGTCCCCGTCGTGACTCTGAGAGCAGGTGGCTCTGTCCCTATATTGTCCCTGTCATGACCCTGATGGCAGGCATCCGTGACCTGCCGTGTCCCC